AGGTGGGGGGCGGAGAGGGTGAGGTGGGGGGTGGGGAGATTGAGGAGGAGGAGGGGGGGGGGCAGGAGTGGGAGGAGGAACAATAGCTGGGGGGGCAGTAGGCGCAGGACCAGCACGAGGCAGCACGCTCTGCACCAGGGCCTGCAGATGGTGACAGATGGCACAACCCTGGGCAAGCAGCTCCCACGGGAACTCCCATTCTTCCTGCGCCCGCTGCTCCAAGATCCGGGTCTAGGAGATTGTGGGGGAGGGAAGAGAAGAAGGGAAAAGGGGGGAAAGAAATACAGTGTCCATGCTACATAAAGCTGATAGAGAAGGTGCAAATTGTTCTTAAGCACCCATTGTTTGGTTTTTGTATGTAATTAGGATGTGGAATGTAGTGGGCCATCCAGCCAATGTTTTTATTCATACCTTTGTGAAAGGAATTAAACGTGTAAATGAAGTTAAATTCTAAGGCTTCCCTGTTGAGTTGGCTTGTGGAATTGGCCTGTAGCAATATGGTGACTTTGATATCCATTAGTGCGTGCCTGGGCAAGTTAAAATGTTCCCCAACTGGTTTCTGTGTATTGCCTTTTTGGATATCTGATTTGTGTCCATTAATTTTTTCACACAGAGACTGTCTAGAATTAATTTTAATAGATTTTAAAGAAATCTGAAATAAAAATTAACTTCATCAAAATAACACTGTATTTTTGAAAATATAATTTATATAGAGCAGGTAGAGTTTCTTTTTATTTACCAAATAAAACAGCTTAATTGAGTTAAGTATCCAAGCAATGCAGGATAAATCTACTAGTTATAACATCTGAAATGTTAACGTGGAAATTGGAAATTATCAAATGGAACACTTCTGTTCACAGGGATTTCCATGGTTTCCATGCTCATACCAATGCAGAACAAAAACAAAACCTTGAAACTGTAAACTTTCCTGTGGGCTGGAAATTGTGACTGATGAAGAATGGTGAAAGGAGAGTGGATTGGGGATTGAGTGATGGGGGAGGCATTTCTTCCCTTCTCAGTTTATTCTCTTCTTCATCATTAGCCCTGGGCACTTTCCCTTCTGGAAAGATTGATGTTGTGGGGAGGACAAGGAGCTGAGGGGTTAAGGTGGTGGTAAGATGGAGTAGCCAACTAGAAGGCACTAGCCCTTTAAATTGCCTTGATGCTGGAAAGGGGGAGAGGAGAGAAATAAAGCACTTACCAATAATGGTGAGAGTGTTTGTGATACGCTAAGGTTACAGAAGACCACTTGGGGGGGCTTCCCAGAGTGCTGACAAGGGCACTGCCACTCACCTTCCTGATCTCTGGGCCTTCTCACCACCCAGTCCTGCTGGGCCAGATCGCCTGTCTCCCCCAGCCAAGGCCCCAAACTGAGATGGCCCCCTGAGAAGCAGTGTAGACACTGAATCTCTTCAGGTCCAAGAAGAATGCAGTTTAGGGTGCAGCTTCCTGGGATATCACTCTCCAAATGGAACCCCAAAGGAATTATTTAGGTGAGCCCCCTTTGACAATGAAAGGGGGAATGTACACACAGATTGCTCCCCCCAGGTAATAATTATTTATGCTGGGTTTCATAGGAAATAAAAGCAATTGTAGTAAGTACAAGCAGTAGGATTTAAGTGGTAATAGGTGAGAACAGGCAGAGCAAAGTAGATCACAAACTCAAAATAACAGAAAAGGCTTAGCTAATTCTGCACTAAAACTTCAGTACGAACTTACTACAAACTCACCCTAAAAATGTTTCTTTCCCGGCCAAGCCTTCCAAACCAGGGCAGACTCCTTTTCCCTGGGGTCTCTGGTTCCCTCCCTTGGGTGTGCCACACCAATCAGCCAAAAGATCCCAGGCCCCGATTTCCCCATTGTTTTTAAAGATTCCCTTATTGCATGGGGGGTCACCTGACCCATCCCTACCAACCACTGCTAAACCTTAAAGACAAAAGGCTATTTGCATATGATTGCCCATACACGGATGTCTCCCAGCAGTGGAACCACCCTTGATGACTTTCATTCACACATTTAAAACTCATAGGCTACGTCTAGACTGGCAGGATTTTCCACAAATGCTTTTAATGGAAACGTTTTTCTGTTAAAATCATTTGCGGAAAAGAGCATCTAGATTGGCACGGACGCTTTTATGTCAAAGCACTTTTTGCGGAAAAGCGTCCGTGCCAATCTAGACGCGGTTTTGCGCAAGAAAGCCCCGATCGCCATTTTCACCATTGGGGCTTTTTTGCACAAAACAATACCGCGTTGTCTACACTGGCCCTCTTGCGCAAAAGCATTTGTGCAAGAGGGCTTTTGCCCGAACGGGAGCAGTATAGCCTTTCCGCAAGAACACTGACATCAGTGTTCTTGCGCAAATTCAAGTGGCCAGTGTAGACAGCTGGCAAGTTTTTCCAGAAAAGCAGGTGTTTTTGCGGAAAAACTTGCCAGTCTAGACACAGCCCATGTGTGTGGGTTACATAAGCAAAACTTTTTTAGCAACCTCCAACACAGCCAACAACTTGGGAATTTACTTATCAAATCCCACTTGTACTAAAAGGCATAGAGAGCTTTAAAGGATGATGCATTGCAAAGTGAACTATTTAAGTTACCAACCAGGTGAGCCACTCACCCATGCCCACAACTTCATCAACATCATTTTCTCCCAATAAGAATATGCGCTGAATTTTCTTGCATGTGGCACGTTTTCCTCTTTTACCCTGGGAATGAATTTCTTCCAAATATTCTCAAATGAAATCTCTCTTACACCTAGGAGCCATGACAGTTTTTCCATGGCAAAAGTGTTGGGGAATATAGGAAGCACTGTGTGTGTGCTGAATAATGTCTTCCCTTTTTCTTTCCAGTCCTTCTACCCTGCTTCCCCCCTCACCAGTGACAAAAAGGGGAGCTGCATCCAGAGGAGCCTGGAAGTCCCCTGGCTTCAGTTCTTGCCACCCGTTGATACTGCCCGCTTGTCTTCAACTTCTGCTGTCTTTTATAAACAGTCTTGCATGACAGGTTGTGTTGGACTTTTATTCCCTTAAGAGGTGTAGCGAGGGTGTTATATGGTCGGTCAAACTTGAGAGACTGAGTGATTTGCCCCCCCCCCCCCCCCCCCCGCCCCTGCCCTGTGGCACGGCCCCAAACCTGGTGCACAGTTGAGGGGAACTTATACCGCATCTTCCCCCAACCCTTACAGTTTGGGGCCGGGCTCCCGCAGGCACTAACCCGCCGGTGGAGATCGAGGAGAGTTGGGCTTGGAGCAGAGAGGCAGGGAGGAGGCTCCAGCTGCTGGTGGCAGGCGGAGTAGGAGCACGTGAGCTGAGGGATGACGGGGAGGGGGAGCAGAATGGGATTTACTTGGCGCCTCCCTAGCGTGATGCCCAGGGGCAACTGACCCCTCCGGCCCCCTTGCTACACCACTGCCCCCCTCCTGCAGATCTATCATCTTATGCATGTGCAACTTCAAGCATGGGCGGCAGGTTTGTACAATTTTTGGTGGTGCCCCATTAGCCACACCCCCTAGCCCCATCAGTCACGCCCCCTTCCTCCCCGCCCCCCATTAGCCATGCCTCTCGAGGTAACACGTTCAGGGCAAGATGGACACGTCACCAGACGTAAAAGGTGTCATGTCACCCTTCTCGAAGGACTTTACCCACCATCCTCCTACCAACAGGGATTAGTTTGGCCCCCACCAAACTTCTCTCATGCAACTATCCTGCAATTGCATTAACCCAACGTGTGTGACATTAATTTGGGGGCAGGGAGGCTGGGGGAAGTGTTCCCTCTAAGGCTATGTCTACACTCACGGCTTCTTGTGCAAGTACAGTCGTACTTGCGCAAGAACCCACAGAGCGTCCACGCTGCCCGCCTGCTCTTGCACAAGGAAATTTACAGTACGGTGTGGTAAGAGAGGGCGTCTTGCACAAGAGCTACGCTCTTTTCTAACAGGTGTAAGCTCTCTTGCGCAAGAGAGCAGTGTGGACGCTCAGCAGGGATTTCTTGCACAAGAAACCCCTCTGGCTAAAATGGCCATCGGAGCTTTCTTGCGCAAGAGAGTGTCCGCACTGCCAAGGATGCTCTTGCGCAAAAGCACAGCTTGCACATGGCAATGTGGACGTGTTCTTGCACAAGGAGCATTATTTTATGGTGTGTTCATTTTACCATGGGTGCGGCTACTATGATAAAGAAGCAAATATTTTGGTTTACAAGCCAAATAATTTTACAGCAATTTTGACGCAAACACCTTAGTGCAGTTGGCAATGCCCATTATTTCTTTCCATACCGTGACTGTGGGACAGCTAATTCAGGCCACGCAAGCTAGGATTCACCAGGCAAAGGCAGATGAGAGACTCCCCTGGGGATACCTTTGTCCAGTGGAAGGGCAAACTACTGCCCCCTTATCCAAAGCCACAGAAACCTGACAGAATCTGGGCAATTCTACTGCCTGATGTCAGCATTTGTTTTAGGCAATGAGGAATGATAAGGTGTGAACCGTGTTCCATTAATTCACTCTGCCTACGTGGGACTGAAGGCTGGACTCCACCCTTAGAGCTAGGCATGTGTGCACAGCTCTCTCACGTTGGAGAATTTTACTTGAAATTACAAAATGTGAGTTTTCCAAAACTTTACTGCTTCTAGAAAACATTTTGCAACCATAAGGGAGATTCCTACACTGCCATCTGTGGAGAACTGGATGGTCATATGAAGCCTGACTCACCTCCTACTTTCCAGCTACTAACCTGTATTAAGCAAAGTGAAAAAGACATTAATTATTGGGCTAACATTACTCTTTTAAGGTAAGAAATTACTATTGTTGACACAAGGATATTGTGAAAGGGAGAAGACAATCTCTGCATTGCCACGTGGACCATGCAATGAAAAAGCTTGAGAAGCCCAGCGGGGTGATACATAACCAGGGCCCTCACAAATGCATGCTCCATTTTGACCAGTTTCACAACCAGAGGAATAGTGATAGAAATGTAGCCGTGTTAGTCTGGGGTAGCTGAAGCAAAATGCAGGACAATGTAGCACTTTAAAGACTAACAAGATGGTTTATTAGATGATGAGCTTTCGTGGGCCAGACCCACTTCCGCAGATCAAATAATGGAAGAAAACAGTCACAACCATAT